CCATAACTGCCAACCAAATTTACTCATTTCTTGTTGTATTAAAAAGGACAAAGCATTAAAGGCACCCTGCTCCTGCTTTGTCCTACGCCACTGTCATGCTCAGGAGGAGCTATGTTTAAACACCTACGTCCTGTATTTTTTTAGCTTGCGCTCTCATGATTAGTCTATTGCAAATTTGTAAGTATTTTTTTGAGTAGAAACCGTCTTACTGTTCTGCAGTGTTACAGCATTTTGCACAAAAGGCCATTGTCCAACACTGGACAAGGTTTTTAATACAGTTGATATATCACTGCAGTAATACAAAAGATAAATATTATGTAGGTTGCTTCAAAAGTAATGCCTCATTAATTTCCATGGAAACTAGAACACACAGAGAGCTCAAAAACACTACTTGATAGAGCACAGAACATTATTTTTCAACACAGCCACGACCATTAGCTATGCATTTTCATCAGTAATGAACTGCATGTCCCACCTGTAAAAACCTGCAACAGAAGAAGTGACTCACTGTTTCTGCCCCTGCTCCTGAAATGCACCACCCACCAACTCACTGTGCTAACATTCACTGTTGGATCTCCACAGACACTCAGCAAGAGCCCATGAATGTCAGCAGGTGCCATTTTTTCCACATGGAGGAATTTTATTGCACACCTTTTCCTCATACACACGCCCATGTCAGACTCAATTTTATCCAACTGCCCTTCTACTCTCATCTGTTGCATGGCAACAAAATTTAAAGGAATATTGACAGGAAGGTTCAACCTCTACTGCCATACCACCAACATCCACCTCTGACATTGCTGGCCAACATAATAAAATGGGAGACATCACTTTCAAAGCAATGCACAAGAAAATGCTTATGAGGACAGCACATCCCCTTCATTATTCTGCTCTTAGTAAACACAACAGTAAAGATCTGTTGACTTCAGATGTTGCAAGGGTAAGCCTTACAGCATTGCTACTGCTTACCATTTTGAAAATCTTTCTTATAAAATGACTCGAGCATAAAGAAAAACCTTAGCTTAGTAGTGTATACAAACAGAATGGTTTGATAACAACACAGATGTAGATACACCTGCACTGAATAAAATGTGTTTGTATGCATACTGTATACATTATTATATAATTACACATCATTTTTCTGAGAATTCTAAGACATGGTACACAGTGTATTTGCTTTTAGATTGATATGCCCTCTAATCTCAGCACTACTGTCAAGATTGGTAGCATTATTCAAGTGAACAGTAATTTAAAAGAAATAGCATTTTATTGAACTTCTGCTTAAATCCCAGCAATTTCAGATAAAGACTGTGTGGTTGGTGTGATGTGACTTGAGAGCTGAAGCTGCAGGTTCCTCAGAAATTGCCATGTACTTTCATCTGTGTGGTGTTCTAAGCCACACTGCGTGTTTATATTAAGATCAAAGGAAGTTAATGATTTTTCTAATGAAAAATTGCTACAATGAAAAATCTTACATGTCACTTAATAACTGTATTTTAATATAAATTCATGACATTAAACTTTGTGTATGCAGAGGTTCTATGTAATTCTCATTAAATAATGTAATATCTTTTTTCAAATATCATTTGACACCAGTAATTCCTTTTTTACTCTATGCCTTAAAATGACAGCCAAGTATTTCATATTAAGAATGCAGGTAGCTCAGTTCCAGCTGCCTGATTGAGCACCCCACTGGATGGCAGTAAAACACAACTTTGAAAAGAATCCAGTGTTGTTCTTTAACTTACTGACCTAAAAAAAAACCCTCTTTTAAATTCTTAAAAATAATAATAATAATAAAAGTTAACAAAAAAAAATAATGCTAGTTGAGAACAAAGACAAGCAACTAAAGCAAGAGGATTGAAACCTCACCATTCACTCATTGCTGTGTTCTGGTGCATTCTTTCATGCCTGGTCCTTGGAGAGAAGGGTGCATCCTACATCCCATAGACGTGGAAAGAAACGCAGGCTTCCCCCTCACTATAGGAGAAGCTAGAGCTGTCAGTGGAGCAGGAGCTACACCTATTGCTAATCACAAATACTTGCCCTCTACTGATGACAAGGACAGGAAATAAGTATCAACAACTTTAAAGTATTTCTTTGTGGGTATTTATTTTAACCCATAACCAAAACAACCCAAAACTTAACAAATAGAGTTGTTAAACCCTTAAAACATTTATAACTGAACCCATTTTGAAATGCCTGCTGTAGCCTGTCACTTCAAGCTCTGCCACAGAAATCTCAGTGGAGGACATGTGTGCATAGGCATGCACGTGGATATTCCTGTGCTTGGGACTTGTGCTCATGCAGATTTCTCACTAAGTTGGAAAAACAGAAGAGAGAGGAGAGAGGGCAGCACAGCCCTAGAACCCTGTTTTTTCCTCCTCCACCACACTCTGACGCCATCCCTGTTTCCAAAGTCACAGAACTGGTGACCATACGCATAGGTAGCTCTGAAAGTAATGCCTCCTATTTGCTCCCACGGAAACCTAATGTCTCTCATTAGTTTCCATGGAAACTAGAACACACAGAGAGCTCAATAATACTACTTGATAGAGCATAGAACATTTTTCAACACAGCCACGACCATTAGCTATGCATTTTCATCAGTAACGAACTGCATGTCCCACCTGTAAAAACCTGCAACAGAAGAGGTGACTCACTGTTTCTGCCACTGCTCCTGAAATGCACCACCCACCAACTCACTGTGCTAACATTCACTGTTGGATCTCCACAGACACTCAGCAAGAGCCCACGAATGTCAGCAGGTGCCATTTTTTCCACATGGAGGAATTTTATTGCACACCTTTTCCTCATACACACGCCCATGTCAGACTCAATTTTATCCAACTGCCCTTCTACTCTCATCTGTTGCATGGCAACAAAATTTAAAGGAATATTGACAGGAAGGTTCAACCTCTACTGCCATACCACCAACATCCACCTCTGACATTGCTGGCCAACATAATAAAATGGGAGACATCACTTTCAAAGCCAACATAATATAATGGAAGGCATTACATTCAGACCAACCCTCTTATAGTGTTATTATTTTGCTATCAGTCATAGCACAATGGTATCTTTTCCCTTGTTTGAAATGCAAATAAAAAGCTAGAGAATTGTGTCTGATAGAACAAAGTAAGGGTTGCAGTACTCTTTTACTCCTAAAGTATTTTTGACGTTCCCTCATAAGAGCTTCTTAGCAAACATGGTATGTTTCTTTATTACCTAAAATAACTAAGCTTTAGGTTTTATACTAGGTAATCTGAACCCAAATTGTAGATGATTGTAAAGTTAGACCTCAAAGCTGTTTTTGTATTGCATGGATAGAAGGCAGCCTGGTATTCTTCCAGCAACTAGTACTGCAAAGAAATAAGCTGGAACTTTATGTATCTAACATACCAATTTTATTTTAATTCCAGAATTCCCACATCCTTAACACTGTATTTATGCATGTAAAAGCTCCCAGTGCTTTTTCATTTAAATTAACTTTTCATTTTAATGTAAATCTTGTGGACACAATTAGCATTCTTAGGCAGGGATGACTGCGTTATTACTTATCCCTATAGCTTTTAAATGGAAATCTGGACCATTGCTATGACTCGAGGACACCCACAGAGCATTGACAGATAAACTGACAGACTGGTAATAGTCATTATGACTTACTAGTGTCTAATCAAACCCACCTGTCTGTTTCCATGTCATGATAAAAATAAATATTTAACACTTCCTGATTGACGTTGGAAATGTTGTCAATGTTGACAAGTACCAGAGCAACTGGTAATATGCAGTTTAGTTTGTCATACACATGAAAGGAGAATCCAGAAGACAAATTCTGTGCATTAAAATGTATGAGGAAGAGTACTACTGCAGGTAAAGTGTTAAAATCATACATGCAGTTAAAATCTTGGCATTTGAGAGACTGGAGGATCAGGCTTTTTACATCTTTTCATCCATCTTTCCCTAATGTGACCCTCCAAACTCTATGCTATGCAGTTTGATATCCCTTCTGTTAAGTACCATGGCACCTCTGAGAACTGAGTCATTGTTATTTGTATTCTGAATTAAGAATGTTTCCCACCTAAGTAACCCTGATGAAAAAAAAATAATAATAATAATTAAAAAATTGATGTTCTGCTTGTGCTATAAGCAATTAAAAAAAAAAAAAAAAAAAAAAAAAAGTAAAAACTCATCCTTATCACCTTCATAAATTACAAGCATCAAAACTCTACTGGGCTGTACTGAACTAGCTTAGTAGCACTATTATTAGCGTAGGCCATTTGTTATTTTTCTTCTCTCCACATGTTTCTGTTACATAAAAAAACTCAATAAACAGGAAAAAATGTTACAGGATAAAATGATTGCTGTGCTATACCAGGTAGTTTCCTATAGGATAAATTATTTAGCTACGTTGATTGCTTTAGAATGTGTTTCTTAGATTTCTCTGGGTATCATCACAATTAAGTTGAACAGCATTTTTAAAAAGAAAATAATAAACATGAAGTACAAAAGTGCATGTCTTATTAATTTATGAATTTTCAGAGAGAAGTGGTGAATGGACAATGCCTGCATTAGTCTCAAATTCCCAGTTATTCTCTTATGGGCAAAGCATGTAAATCTAGATTTAGCAGTACACAGGTCCCAAATTAAAATTATACATTTACTTACCATGCTGTTTTGTTGTTGATTTTGATGTTATTTCTGTTATTTTAAATTATTATATGGAAGTAAGCAAGCAAAAGCTGAAATGATTCTGCAACAACCAGAAAGCACTCATATCCAATGTTGTACCTCCTAGCTTTCTGTATCTTACAGATGGCAGATGTGGAAGGGCATCAGTGTTAACTGACATTTCCCCTTTATCGAAATGAAGCAGAACATATCAGCATATATCATACATATCATGTTGGCATAAACTTTGAAAAGGGGCTCTCATTTGGCATCACTGTAAGCAGGAGGATCGGTTCGAAATATTCATCGCTTCATTTCTGTGTTTGCAGATTGATCACTACCCTCCAGCAACTTACAGCCTGCCAGCAGCATCTGACATTCAGTTCAATTCCCCAAAAGCACTCTTCCTAGGAAAAGTCATAGGTAAGGTTTCATTGTATAATTGGTTAATTCATCAGGTATTTTCGGAGAATGGTAAGCATTGTAAGCACCTGGACAATGATATGTGCAACTTCTGCAGCAGGACGCTGGCTGGATGTCACTGAGGTAACCCTCTGTACATTTCCTCCCCTTTATGAAACTCACCACCATTCCTCAGTGCAGCGTTTTCCAGACCAGCTCCCCATATGAACTTGAGAGGCAATGCAGATTCATCTCAGACTGTGCTCATCTTCTTTTTCGGCCATCCTAGTTTCTCCGCTACTGACCTTTTAAATAAATTTCCAGGATTACCCACTTCAGGATTCAATGATTCCCCCAGCATTCACAGCAATCGAGGTACATTTTTTCAATTTTCAGAAAGAGAGGGTATTGATATTATTTCCTCTAAGTGCTTTGTAGGGTAATGTGGTTGTCTGAACGAAGTGAAGTGCTTAATTCAGAAAACTGCAGACTTTTAAGTTGTGTAAGACAGCGATCTGTGAACCCCATGCACTATTTTTTGATGTGGAAAAGCAATTGACCTTGTAGCTAATGTGACTTTTCAAAGATGACACTTTTCCATTTGTTCTGCTTTTAAAATTTAATGTGTTACATTCCTGTGAAATAGGAAATCAAAGGTCTTTAAAATGGTTGTATAGCAAGAGAGTTGTGAAGTATTCTCTGATGCTCTCAAGAGAGGTCATCTGTGTAGAAAATAGAAAAAACTCTGTGGTATGATTTTGTGGAGTAACTGGAAATTATCTGCATTTTCATCTCTGGATCAGGGCAGTCAGACCAGAGCTGTCTTCATCTTCAGCCAGGCTGCTCTTCCATTAATTGAAGCAAGTAGATGAAGGACTTCAGGTGAAGCATTCAGCAACTGGAATAACACTGCTGGCAAAAAAAATTTCTCACAGATAATCGTTAGCAAAAATATCAAGATAAAAATCTATTAATTTGCTTAATGTAGCAGTTGTGGCCATCTCATATAATGGAATCATTGTCAAACAGGTTCTGTTTGCTTTAAGATGCTCTTCGGAATGATCTGTGTGTCTAAGAAACTACCACAGTATGGAGTACTGCCTCCACAATTCAGTCTTCTAAATAACAATGGTGAATTATTGTTTGAATCCAGCTAAAACTGGCTCTTTCCCTATTATCCTGATGAGTTTTAGAAGAAGCAAGATGCATGGAGACAGGCATACAAGAGGGAAAATACTTCTGTGAAAAATCTACACTGAAAGAGTGAAGGGAAAGTAAAGGACAACTCCTAAAAAAGTAGAAAACAACACACCGTGTACTGTGAAGTGAAAAGAAAGAATGGGAGAAACACAAAAGAGAAAGTAAGAAACACTGTGTGCTGAACTTAAGATATGCTGACTGCAGAGTGAGTAGACAGAACTCCACAAGGAAAATCACCTTTCTTGCTTGTGAATTGCTGAACCAGTAACACAGGCAGGCAACAACACAGATGCAACAGTGACACAGATTGCAGGACTATTCTTTTTAAGCTGAATTTTTAACCCGTTCACAGCACAACAGCACCTCCAAGCTGCCTCCAACATCACCCCATGACCAAGTGCTGATTTCTTTGTTACATTTAAGCACTCTGATTGGAATTTTTCTCTAGACATTCTTGGAGAATAAAAGGGCTGCAAGAGCTCAGATGGGTCATGGCTCAACCTTTCTTATTCAGGCTACTTATTTTAGTTACTGAAAGGTCTGATATCCACCTCATAAATCCAAACAAAATGAATGATTGAGTCAGTTCTGTTTCTACAGATGTAGACCCAAGACAACTCACATTACTTGTTCGTTTGCAAAAAGTTAATTATATGGTTGAAAACAGAGTTTCAAGAATCCCATCCTATTTTCAGTTGGATCCTACCAAAGATGAAGTTTGGTATCAAAAGAACACCCGTATTCACCCTGCTAGTATCCAGAGCCTGACTATAGGATTCACAGGGCTTTTTCAGAATAAGGAAATAAGGAAAAATAATAGTTAAGGCAAGTAAATATAATTTTATTTTAATAAAGGAAGTTTTAAATATGTTGAAACGCACAATTTATTTTCCTCTGGCTCTTCATAAATATAGTACATCGAAATTTGAAATTGAAAGCAAGTTCCAAATCTAACATTTGAAGGAGTAACCACTGTTCTGATAGTATCTGTCCTATAAATGCATGGAATCATAGAATGGCTTGGAATGGAATACACATGGTGCAGCTGAAGGTTGTCATTACGAAACATTGCCACAGCAAATGCATCACCTTCAGCTCCCCTGCTAACTACGGGTCAGGAACAGGCAAAGGTCTTGCAATATCCTAACTGAGTAACTTATAAACAGATTATATTCCTGTTTTCCTCTGCTTCTTTATGATCTTAAGCCCCACAAAACTGCATCTCTGTTTCATGTTTTCATCCACTTCCATTGTTATGAACTGTTCTATTTGTTATGTATTGTGTATCCTACTATCCCCAGGATTTATTCCTTCATTTTTTAAATGCTTGTTTTCCAAATTTGGATATGGGGAATTAAGATTCTTCTGGTTAATTTCTCTTCTTAATTCATTGTCTTCTGCAGAATAGGGTGTTTTAAGTAAGAGCAAGTCTGTAGTGAAGAAACAAACCACCAACGAAAAATATATTCCTTTTAACATAGAATATTCATATTTATCCTCAAAAACGTGAATTTTCTGGTGTAAAATTATCGTGCAGCTGACCACCACTATTCATCAGCTTCACTATGCAACTTTCTGCTGAATGAGGGAAGAGCACAGCTAACACTGTTAATACTGTTTCAGCAGTTTGAAGGACAAAGAAGATGCAGAATCCTTAAAGCTTGTAGTCATCACATTGTATGGGCTAGATGTATTCCAGTGGCTCAGAGCACCAATGGGATTTCTGGATGCATACACCGAGTTACAATTTGTGCCCATCTGCATTCTCTAAACGTGCAATATGGCAGTAGCCTCATATTTCACCGCCACTTGGCACTGACAGCATTCAGTTTCTGTTACTCCCATAGTGTGCAATTCTTCCTTGGTGGCAAGGCCCTGTTTTTAGAAACATGAGTTCTGGAATAATATTATTAAGGAACTGATCTGTCTGACTTAATTTCCATCTTTTGCTAGGGTTATTTGCATAGGAGCAGCAGCTTCTGCTGCAGCCTCGATTGCTGTGACAGCTCACCTGCTGCCAATCAGTGGTGGTCACTTGTATGATACCTATGACAGCGTAACACCATTCTGCGTTAGGAGTTACAACATCATGGCTGATACAGAAATCATCATGAAATATTTCTGTGCCTCATAACTATTGATAATATTATCTATAAATCAGGAAGTCAGGCTGGAAACAAAAATAAATGATTGAATTGCAGAAGTAGTTAAGGAGTATTTCTTCTTCTAGAAATTGAAGTACTTTCTGCTTTCCTGAAATAATTTTCAGAAAATGCAGTTGCTCACTAACTTTAAAAACAGTGATAGAAAACATATCCGGTCTTCTGGAAACCCTAAAGGTTTTCTGTGTGTCTAGCATTCTTACAGGGCAAAACGAATTTCTGATTTGAGGTATGAAATAAAGACGAAGGAGATAAATAATCAACAATCTTGCTTAACATGAATATGTAGTAAAAGCACTAGAGAAACACAAGATTTTGTAAATTAAACAGAAGGGAATTGTTAATGTTTCAAGGAAGGTGATTAATCTGCTATTTAAACATGCTTAGGCTTTGATGGCTGACACAGGCATGGTAAAAGGGAGAAGCTAGCTATCAGGATGACCAGCATTAAAGAGAAGAAAAGTTAACTATGTGGCATAACGCACTGCGTGTCACAGTTCAGATATGAACCTGAATTCCTGCTCATGCTGCAACTTGAGACTCAGTACTGAGTCAGCACAGAGCAGAGGTTCATTTCTCCTTCTAAGTTCTGTGTTTTTGGACGCAATGCTAAGGTTTGTCTTTGTATCCTTTTTTGAAGACCTACAGCAATTTCTGTTACAGGAACTTTATACAGGAGAACTGATGTCACAGATAGCCTGTACTGTATTATATAAACGAAGGAGGAGTACTGTCACAATTGGAAAGATTAATGCAGCAGAAGGGCAATACAGGAGTGCAACAGCTAAGGGACCAGTGTGGATAGAACAGTATTTCAAAGGAAAGACTCCACAAGGGAGGGATCTCCAACCAGAGATCCTTCCACAGTGGCAGTCAGCCCTCAAAGGGGGTCTAAGAGAGGTGCAGCCAGGCCATGCCCCTGCAATCACACAGCTGAATTGCCTTCACCTGTGCTCCCAGGCCTGACCAGGTTCTTTTCCCCAGGTGATCAGTGGGGTTTAGTGGTTTAAGCTGTGACTCAACAGTTCCCACACAAGTACTTCTGTTTTAATATGCATTACTAAAGAGTTAACTACACAACTCAACATAATTTTGTAAAAGTACCATTCTGCTGAACAGAAATAGTTTGAGGGTTTCTTAACAGCACGTTTTATTGAGCTTAGAAACGCTGATATCAGACTGGATTTGCTGTTGAGGTTGAGGAAGCAAAGGTAATACGTACCTTGTTTGCAGTCCACCTCCACCAACCACTCCGAACCAAATGATACCATTTCAGAAACACATATTTATGTGGAAGTATTAACACAGTATGTCTTCTATAGTACGGACAGATTATCATTTCAGAACTTCAACTAGCAGTGCAGACTCCATTAAACGCCTCTGTCTCACCCTATTGTTTCTCAGGTTCTTCCAGAAGGAATAGTAGAAAGAGAAAAAACTTTAGAGCCTGTAGTCCTGCTTCAAAGAGCAGCTGGCAGTGCTCTTCAGTAGAAGAGAAATTCAGGAAATCAACTCAGGACTTTCTCTGAGTAGGGATTGCTCAAAAAGAAGAGGTAGAAGGCCTGCTTACAGATTTGCTATTTCCTCGGTGTTCTCACTGTTTAGACATTTGCACTATGTCTATTTCTATTCAAGAACATTTACCATCTCCAAAAAAGA